CACCCCCTTTAGCCTGCCAAAGCTTCAGATACCTTCTCCATCTGTTACACAAGTGGAACTCAAGGTAAAGTATATATGTGTTACAACAAGAGGGAATCAGGCGTTCATCATGTTTTGGGCATGTAGAGTTATTTGTACCTTCATAAAGCTTGTTCGTTTGTCTTGCTTTCGATATACGACTTCAAAAGTACCCATCTATCTTCAATAGAAGTAGAGCTATTAACCGTTGAAGGAGGTAGGAGTCGCTTGGTTTCAGAAGTAAAATTAGCGAGAAAATGGGCGCCAAAGTTGGTGACTTTTAAAAACTTCTTGGAAGCTATAAATTTACTTTTTCGTACAAGCTGTGAAAATTGCCCGCTTTTCTTTTACAAATATTCCTTTGAAGTAGATCATGGGAAAGATTCCCCCTTATTAATATCCCTGTACATGTTTACGTATATCATAGGATATACAGCATGGTTTTATGATATTAAAAGGATTTCAAAATGAGAGTAAAAGATGTATCAAATGACTGGTCCCTGTTCTTTCTTTCTCTCTCTCTGTCTCTGTCTCTCTCTCTCTGTCTCTCTCTCTCTCTCTCTCTCGCACACACGCACACACACACACTCTTTTTCCCTCCCCCCTCTCTCTCTATCTTAATTTAATCTTCGACAATACTGCCAGCGGGGTTTCACCCGACGTTGCAACTCTCCTGTGCGGAAAAAACCAATGGCTATTTATAGAACTCTGACGATATGATATAAATAGTGCTATTTAATAACCACTTTAGTCAGCGACTAAAATTGAAGAAACGTTTCGTATATATATATAAGATATTTTGCTGGCTCGTTGATCACTGTTGCTTCTGACCTCCCTGAAAGAAACACGTTTCGTCTCGCACAATTTTTGTTTCGACTTTGATGGCATCAGGTTTAGTGCTACGTAAGTGGAAGGGATTTCATAGTAATAACAAAACGAACGATATTGTTTTAGACAAGCATAATTTGACAGGTATCGGCACTGGTAATAATATAACTGGAGAATAAATTTTAATGTAATATCCCACAGTTTTGTTTTTGTTTGTTTTCTTTAATTTGTTTGTTTGTTTTGCGGGAGGGGGGCGGAGGCATGATTAATTTTCAAATTGGATTACTGCAATGCACACAATTTAAATCAAATTAGGCTTTTAACTCTGCCTGTTAGGGCCAACTCGTGCTGAAAGCTCTAATA